CCATATTTACTTTTATAGGGAGTTAAATAGTTTTAGATTCTGCGGATGCTTATTTCGCCATAATATTCACTATTCCCCATCTTGTCTTTATCAAATTTTATTTTTGAACACGTTAATATAACACGAACGTAACTAAGTCTTTACTCTATGAATTGCGATCCTTCAATTTCACAAAATGATGCATCTACTTTTTTTTAAATTTTGAGCACATACAATGAAAAATGAGTTAACCGTTGCTCATTTTTGAAAAGCTTGTAAACATGATCAGATATACCCACAAATTCACTTGCAGTAATGGGCAAAAGTATATAGACAAATTAATATTGTGCTGTATTTTTTTTAACTTGTTTTATTAATACCTCTATAGATAATTCGTTATAGCATAATACTCCCTTATACATAAATAAATTCATTAGACTCCTTTCAATAAAAAGTTAATTGAAAAAAAAACTAGAACTATGAAGGACAAAAATATATAGACAAAGCAAAACAATTATAGAAAAAAGAAGCAAAGCTCATCCAATTATAGAAAACCAACCATGTTTGTGTTAATATTTTGTAGCATAACCATTATTATCAAACACCGCCCAGCATCGTCTAGGCATAGATTGTAGAAGTTTCTTGATATAAGATCATCAATCTGTCTCCACTTTTGCTCTAAAGCGGCAAAAACTTCATCCTTGTTTGAACAATTTTTATCTCGTATTTGCTTATCTAAGTATTCCCATAGATTTTCAATGGGGTTTATATCGGGAGACTGAAGGCCATTTGAGAACTGGTATTTTTTCATCCAGAAAGAATTTCTTTGCGAGATTTGAAGTGTGCTTCGGGTCATTATCTGGCTGGAAGATTGATCTCAAGGGCATATTGTCTTCTATATAGGGTAACATGACATGCTTTAGTATGTCTGTGTATACAAACTTATCCATAATGCCATCTATTCTATGTAAAGGTTCCATCCCAAACCCCGAAAAGCACCCCCAAACCATAACAGACCCGCCTCCATGTTTGACAGTGGGCAAAGTGTACTTGGGGTTCAATCTTTGTCCACTAGGACGTCTAACGTAATGAACACCATCTGATCCAAACATATTGAACTTGGATTCGTCACTGAAACATACCCTCTTCCAGTCACAGATGCTCCAATCAAGATGCAACCGTGCAAATTGTAATCGGTCCTTACGGTTGTTCATCGAGATTAGCGGCTTCTTATTCGGGCGACGTGCAAATAACTTCAAATCATTTAATCTTCTACTTATAGTTTTCGTCCTTTTGTCTCGATTTCGGATTTTATTTGTGTTAGGGTTTTAAACGGATCTTAGGACGAAATTACTTTTATTAATCTAACTGATCTAGCATTTAGTTTTCTAGGCCGACCATTCTCTTAGAGGCTTTCAAGATACCCTTTTGTTTATATTTGTTCAATATTGCCCAAACTGCTTTACGTTTCAGCTTCAAATTTTTGAAAATGTCGACTTGATGTTGACCATCTTTGTATAACTCAATGATCTTAGTTTTCACATCGAAAGAAATTTCTGGACCACGCGGTATGGTCTTAAAATCACTCAACTTATTCCACAATACTTGATGAACACAAACTAATCCTCTTCTGACACGAAACTGTACTAGTTTTTCTACTAATAACGCATTTGTTTATGGAGCAATGAAATATGAATTCGTTTTTTAAAGGTATTTAGGTAAATATTTATATTTGTCTATATACTTTTCTCCATTACTGTATGTAGCAATAATACCTTTTTGTCAGCAACGACTCAAATCTCGTGAAAATATTTAAAACGCTCTCCTGTAAAATTGGAAACAATGAGATACGCCACATCGTGTTATGGACGACGATATGTTTTTGCAAAGCCTGCTATAGTCTCTGCGTCCCTCTAATGATATGTTTCTTGACTTGTCCGAACATTTAGTTGTCATCATATTCCGAGATATTTCAGTGATTCTGTTTGTATTAAAGTAATACATTGGGGAACAGGGGTGTCGCTATTGAAAATAGATATTTATTATACTTATCTGCCATTATACATTTTTGCCATACATTTTTTGTTAATTTATGGATCCATATTTGTACAAAATATGTAAAGGTGTCAGAAAATATAATTGCTTGGGCTCGTAGGTTGGCGATCTTCGGGTAGAATAAGTTAATCAACGCTTGTAGCTAAGCACCAAAACAGTAGAGAGGAGCGTAATGCATCGTACGCCACTGTTAATGCGGCTTATCTTTGAGATCGGATGTACAGTGGAGTACGATGAGTACGACTTTGTCCCACTGTGGTACTTGTTTATACTAACAGATACCATGATTTCTGTTGATGGAGAGTAAGCACATCTTTTACATTTTCATTGATTTAGAACTTTTGTTTTTCATAGCTTTTGATGTTATGTTTGACAGTCCCAAAGCAATGAAGTGAACTAACATATAATCTTTATCTGGATTGCATCGATGTTATTTGGAATCATGCTTGCGGAAAGCTTGAGGTGATATTGAGATGATTATCCTTAGTCAAATGATCATATATCAGTGAGGCTGAGGTTGGACTGGGGATGAATGGAAAACAGCCTGCACATAAAACAAGAGACTTCTTTGTAAAAAAATGGATTTCATAAGTCGAGATTCAAAAATATTGTTTTGGACTTATTGTACCTATTTTTTCCAAACTTGAACCATACAGGGTTTGTCCGGAAAGTAATAGGACTGAGTCGATTTAAAAAATTGTATTGAGCCAATCGTTACAATTCTTTAAAAACTTTCAAAATAGGCTCCTTCTGCGTCGATGCAGCGCTGCCAGCGCAATTTCCAAGCATTGAAGGCGTCACGGAAGGCATTCTCCGGAATAGCCTTGAGAGCCGCGGTGCATGCTGCTTCGATCCCCTCCGTCGTCTCAAAATGCTTGCCTTTCATCGGCCTTTTCAGGCGAGGAAACAAAAAAAACTCCGGGGGGGGGGGCACATCTGGGCTGTAGGGCGGCTGCGGAAGCGTTGGGATGCCGGCCTTGGTCAGGTAGCTGTTCACAAGAAAGGCGGTGTGAGCCGGAGCGTTGTCGTGGTGCAACTTCCAGTCGGCTGCGATGTCTTGTCGGACCCGACTGACCCTTCGTTTGAGTCTCCTGAGCACTTCCACGTAAAACTTGGCGTTGACGGTTTGTCCAGGAGGAACAAATTCATGGTGGACGATGCCTTTGATGTCAAAAAAGACAATGAGCATCGTTTTCACTTTGGATTTGCTCATTCTTCCCTTTTTGGGCGAGGAGACGCCGTCATGTGCCACTCGGAAGATTGCCTCTTTGTCTCGGAATCACACTCAAAGATCCACGACTCGTCACCTATGATTACGTTATTCAAAATTGGGGGTCACTTTCACACATGTTCAAATTTTCTTGGCACACTTCCACTCGCCGCAATTTCTGGTCGTCAGTGAGCACTTTTGGGACCATCTTCGCGCACACCTTGCGCATGTCAAATGCTGTGTCACAATGTCATGAACCACAGATTTTGGTAAATTTAACATCTGAGCAATCAAACGAATACTTAGTCGACGGTCTGAGTTCAAAACTTCGCGCACACGAGTCACATTATCGGTGTTTGTCGAAGTCGAAGGTCTTCCAGCACCGTCTTCATCAGCGACCTCTTCCCGGCCCTCCAAAAAGGCCTGGTGCCACCGAAACACACCACTTCTTGCTAAAGCAATACCTGGGTAAGCCTGCTTGATCATATCAAACGTCTCTGTCGCAGATTTACCGAGTTTCACACAGAATTTAATCGCGTACCTCTGCTCTAACGAACGCCCCGTTTTCGGCTTGCACCACTCACAGAAATACGTCGCGCGAAAATGCCTGTCCTGACTCTCCAAGTTCTCGGAGACAACTGACCAGCCGCTCATTCGTTAGCTAGGAACGCCCTCTACCGAATCCAGTCGGAGCGCGCACGCTCCGAAGTACAGTCATGGCGGAAGAAAATGAGTCCTATTACTTTCCGGACAAACCCTGTATGTACTCGGGCACAATACTCTTCACGATTGAAATACTATGCCAATAATTACTAATTTAGTTAGGCTTACAATTTGATTCCACAATTCATTTGAATAGAAAATCCAGTGAGTTTAGTTTTCAGTATCAATCAGGATCGTTTTTATCATATATTGTTTAAACGTATACATTATATGCTTCAGTCCTTGTACAGAGTTTACTGATGAAATAGTTATTTAGCATGTTTCAGTAGTCTTACTCATCACTACATTAAAATATTTTCTAAAGCATTTTTATGTAGTTACTATTCAATTCTTGTGCTAAAAGTATAATGTATACTAAGTGACATATAAAATGCAACACCAATAATTATTTATTGAATTTTGATAAAAACTTATTCGCCAGCATGGAAGAATACGCTGATAAAATGTTTTCGTACCTTTTTTGTGAAGGCGTTTGTCTGTGTTGGTTTCATTTGTTTCATTTTTGTTTCATTGCATTATCATGCATAGGGTTCGCGGACGAGCTAATTCCGCTCAACTTTTTTGAGAGGGGTCGGATGGTCGATAATAAAAGCTACTGTAATGAGATGCTGTCGAGCATGGTTCCAAATCGACGAGTTAGAAGTATTGAACGTCAAAGACGGACTGGAGAGCGACATGATCGTTATTTGAGGCGTCTAGCGCTTAGAGATCGATTTTTCACAACAAGGGCAGTTGTGAACCAGAACTCTACAAATATTGGAGGCTCTACGAAACCAAATTCAGCGTAGCGAACAGAGGAGCTTCAACACATTATTAACATTATCTCGACTACTTTGCGAAATTTCGAGTTAAAATTTTAATCACTTTATATTTATCAGTAGACCTGAAACTTATAAAAGTATGCTCAAAATTACAGCACTCCTATAGGGTGTTGCATTTTCAATGTCATTTAGTATATATGTATAAACTCTGAGATATCAATGCTATTTGAATGACGAGATTATTGCCTAAATTAAGTATTTGATATGATTACCTCTAGCTGGAACGTGAGAACGACGTCAAGCTTAGTAAGTGTGGTATCGCTATCAGCGGAATCCCCTTCAAGTTTTGCTAAAGATCCTTGCGATCTAAAAGAAGTAACATAATTCGTCAGAATGTGCTTCACATTATACGGATTATTATGGTTATGCAACCTGTGATTATAGCGTTTTAGTTTTTGTAAGCCATATTTACTATCCATCGACCCTTTGGACACTGGTAGGGATTCTAAATTCGCCATCAATAGATTTATTGATGATTTTAATTCCTCTATGTATAGCGATTCCATTTCTTTCAGTACAAATTTCGGCATCAACTTTCTGTTCTGCAATAAATAGCAATTATCGTTACCGTCCACTTCTGATATAAAAGGAGTTGGTACATTTTATGTTTAAATCATTTCTTGTACAGGGTGCGCCATCTTTTATGTCGGTATGTAAACATGAAATAACTTTGAAAACAGAAAACTGATTTCTATAGATCGGGTATTTTTATTAAATATGGTCCTTTAAAATTTATTGGGACTAGTTTTTGAACACAACATCTATCAAGTGGCCACCTTTACTGGTCAAAACAAAATGTGTCCATTTTGCTGCGTCACCTCTTTTTAACATCAGACGTCCAGGGAATTTTCGTTGCAGAAACTGGGTTGTTTCATTTGCAGGGTGGCATGGCATGAAACCAGTAACGATCAAGACCTTTTTCACGTATTTGTGGGCAAACATAATGAGCCAACATCCACTGATATCGAAACAAATGCAAATCATCCTTCAAAATGCGCCGCAACGTGGTTACACTGATGCCAAAATGCTGAGCGCGGTGACGATACGAAATTTTTGGGTTCTGGGCAACGCTGACTCTGACCGCTTCAACCAGTTCATTGGAACGTCTTGGTCGTTGATGAACGGTTTGTTGACGATCTCCCACTGACCCGTACTCAAGAAAATTCGAAACTAAACGACGGACGGATAGTGTTGTCACGATATTTGCGACGATTTTCAATATACATTGTGACTATTTCGGCGCGTTGTTTCAGCGTAAAGCGATTCATGACTAAAATTGTAGTAAATTGACGTTTCAGAAACACGTATAACCAAATCACTCGGTTGGTAAATATCAAAGTCATTCGATGTTTCAATACCGACATAAAAGATGGCGCACCCGGTACAGCTGGACGTAGATCTCCCCCCTGCTCAAAAGTCTTTGGATTTTCGTGGGAATCCTTATATCTCCTTGGATTTTCCCCTATCTCCTTGAATCTCCAGCAGTTGAAATGGTTAAAATCGATAAGATCTATTAAAAAATTAACGGAACTAGCAACCACAACGGCGACAGAAACATGCTGCTTGCCTTGCAATCTGGGATCATCCAAGATAACTCGGAGAGATCCGGAAGCGGATAGGGAATAACGATTGCCTTTATTATAGAGAACAAGGAATTTCAGGATTAGCTGGGACTTCCAGGGGCTTTCGTACTTTTGAATCCAAAGTGAATTTCGGTGATGAAATCAACTAAAAATAGACTAGTGTGAGGCTAATTTCGAACCCATATCGAAGCATTAGCATATTTTTCTCTATGTAAAAATGGCGTTGCATTTTATTTATATAGCTTATTGTAAGAAACACCATTCTTAGTCATGAATCAGTCTTGAACAAAATAGTATCTCTACCCTATTCGTAGTTCATAAGCCATAAAACTACGAACAAGTACAGGATTCGACAGGACAGAACTCAGGCTCGGGTTATCGCCGGCACGCCGACGCTGGCAGTTGCTGTACACAGCAGATGAAACTCAGAATATTTCTCCCAATGCATCCTTCAGCCATGCTTCCTCTTCAATAATGTCTCCTCCCCGAAGACGTGACAAGAAGGGACATTTGAATATTCAGGCAAAAGAAATTGTCCTTAACGTTGATACGAGCGAAATTTTAGAGCATCCTAAAATGAAAATTCATGATATTGAAAGACGTGTGGCGAATAAGACAGGCTTATGTCCTAAGACAATTTTCAACATTGTTATTGAATAAAAAAAACAAAAATTGTCTCCACCACACAAGAGGCAGCATTACACGAAACTGTTGGATACAGTTGATAACTTTCATTAGATGCAAAGACCAAAATTTTTTTGAATGGCAGGAACTTCCCACCATAGACAAAGCATTACAGGAGGTTAGTAGTGATGAAGACTCGCCTACTTTCAAAAGAACCACATTCTATAGTTTATTCAAAAAACTTCATTTTAAGTACAGAAAACGGGGCAGAAATAGTACTTTGATGGACAGCCAAGAGATTATTTTATGGAGAAGAAATTATTTACAATCAGTAAAGAAATACCGCGACCAGGACAGAAAGATTTATTACTTGAGTGAAACCTGGATAAATGCAGAGCCTATAAAACCTAAAGTATGGGCTGACTCTACAATTAAATCAGCAAGACAAGCCTTCTTAGATGAAGACTGAATCTATGAGCCCACTCTGAAAATTTAGCTACACTGAACTTGTCTATATTGTAGATTTGGAACCAACACCTGCTAGATACTCTGCTTGTATTATGATTAGTTTTCCTGAATACTATATGGAATAGTTATTTCCAAGAAAAGGAAAACGACTTGTTATCTGTCACATTGGCAGTGAAAATGGCTTTGTGCCACTGCCATATGGGCATTTGAGTCAAAAATGGCCGACTACCCTGAAGAAATAGACGGTAGCTCATTTAAACGATGGTTTGAAGAAACGCTCCCAAAGCTTGACGACAATGCCGTCATTATACTTGATAATGCTGCATAGCACACTAGAAAACTAGAAAAAATTCCCACAATGTCCACAAGAAAGGCAGAAGTTCATCAATGGTTCCTATCAAAAGTCATTAGTTTCAATGAAAATATGGTCAAAGCAGAACTTATCCATCTAGTCAGGCAGTACAAATATAAATATCATGTTTATATTATTGACGAAATGGCTAAAAACCAAAATAAGACCGTTTTACGGTTACCCCCTTATCACTGCGAATTAAATCCAATTGAACTGATTTGGACAAACATAAAAAACTATGTGGCTTCAAACTATAAAACATTCAAATTTTCTGACGTGAAAAATTTGTTTTATGAAGCTGGTAACAGAGTGACGGCAAACCATTGGAAATATTGCATCCGTCACGTTCAAGAGACAATCAAAACAAAGATGAACCTGTAATAATTGATATTAACCATTCGGACGATGATTCAAGTACTTCTAGCGAATAAAGAATTGTGAAAAGTATGTGCACTTCTTTTTATAAAAATAATCATTTATGTTGTTAGATTATTCCAAGACCATTGTGGAAAATACGGACCTGTACAATCTTGCTTTTGGGCATGTCGTGTTTTGTCTGGGCGTAAATGTATGTTACTACGAATGGGGTTTAGTGGCTCCCGCAAAATAGTCGATAGAGCAATAGTCGATGAACATGATTGGATCGGTCATTTACTAGAATTTCGCTTAAATCCACTTACTTAAGAGTAGAAAAGAGTGAGAGAATAAGTCAATGTGTAGTTTTTATTGTCTTCAGAAATATTCAAATTGTATGATTCAGGAGGTTTTTGGAATGCCCGATTCAATTCAAATTCGTATTTTTGTTTACTTTACAAAAAACAGGGACAAGGCTCTGTGGTCCTAGTTCTTCACTCCGATTCAAATTCACGTGAAATCCTGGGACTTTTGGGACTAGGATTTTCCTGGAATATTCCATAGTCGCGAGTTAATCCAAGGATATCCGAGGTTATCCACGGAAATACGAGGTAAGGCAATGAGATGCTTCTCTCCCACAGGGAGGAGATCTGAAACACTTTATGAGGATCCAAGGATATTTGAAATTTTCCAAGGAAGCCTGGGGCAATTCATGGAGATGTGAGGTATCTTAAGGACATCTGAAATATAATATAATATAAAATAATAAATCTGTGCAAGGAGGGATATCTTTTGTTCCAAAGAAGTATCAGTGATTAGCTCCTTGCGAACTGTAAATATACAGGTCCCGGCACTCGATGTGTAACCTTTTCGAAATGCCATAAATTCGGTTTGGAAAATGATTTTTATTTATTCCAAAGTCACGAATGTGTGAAAATATTCGAAAATGCAGAAATAATTGCTCAATATGACCAACTTTTGCCTTATCTATAGCATTGAGTCGGTTCAAAAACGAATCACAAGCTGCCCTAATCTGACTTGACGATATTTTGGCCCACTCACGGATAATGGCTTTTTTCAGTGTCTCGAGGCTGGTGTATTTCTTAGCTAGGATCTTGCTGTCCAAAATGGCTCAGATAGAATAATCTACTGGATTCGCGTTGGGGGAATTCGAGAACCATTGTGTGGTCAGCCATTCTTGTTTCATTCGCGCTGTGTGAAACAGTACCGAGTCTGATTCAAGTCTCCATGGCCTGCGGCCGAAATATTTGTCTTCCCAAGGCTTCAAAGCAGCCTCCAGAACACTTTTCCGATAGTATGTCGCATTTACTTTGATGCCAAACGACGGGAGAGCGCCCATCCGCGGTTACAGCGGCCCAAACCATTATTGGTGGCGCGTGCTGCTTCCGGGTAACCAACCGGTGACTCAAATTCTCGTAAGAACGATCGTTCAAGCGAACCCTATCGTTTTTAGAGTTTACAAATTGCCCGAATAGAAAAATGTTCTCGTCAGAAAACACGATGCTCGGAAATTGACCACTTTCGGCCAAGCGAAGCAGATTTAGTTCTCTCAAGTCTCACCTGTTGCTGCTTGGGTGTAAGATCGTGCGCCTTTTGGAACTTGTAAGGCTTGACCTTGAACTCATTTTTCAATATGCGTCGCTCGCCGCGATCGGAGATATTCAGTTCTTTAGCCATTTGATCGGCACTTCATCGTGGATTTCGATCAAGTAGCTTCTTCACCTTTCGGACCATCTCAGGTGACGTTGCACTCTTTTGATGACCACCTCCGTAACGTTTAGCGATGCTACCAGTATCATTATAACGTTTTATGGTGCGATAAATAAAAACCTTATTAACGTCGAGATGTTTGAGCTCACGTACAATCGCTGGTTGTGATTTTCCAGACAAATATAAAGCAATCACACTATTGAGTTTGAATTCCATTGCTTATAACTTCTTTTGTGTTCACCTTTGACAAAATGCTTTGTACGCTTGTAGATAATACTCAGAACTGTCATTTAGCAAATTTATTGACAGCTGCTGTCAGTGTGACAGTCTGAAGTTGGTTACACTTCGAGTGCCGGACTCTGTAAAGCTTTGATTTTTGCCCAAGCGAGAACCTCAAATATTGTTATATCAAATAAAATATTTAAGTGCCTTCTATACAACTTTTGTTCATAATATTGAACCATTCGCTGATATTATAGTTTGAAGAAAAGATACGTTATTGTTACCTTTTCCATTTCAGCAACTTTTTGCATCCTGCCATCAAGTTCTCTTCTTATAGCTGCAGCTTGTTCGTCAGCTGAATCGAGCTGAAATTATCTAAATTTAGGGAAACTGGGATTTTTCGAATCCGAAATATTACCATAAGCGCGTTGAATAGCAGTTGATGCTCGAACTTTTTTACGCCTAATATTTGTTGAAACATATCATACAACTGTTCTTTGGTTAGAATAGATTCGCTATTTAGATTTTGTTGCATCCTAGATGGCCGCTTAGTGTCATCGTCTGAAACTAAATGCAGCATTGTTAGGCTCTAAACATACGAGGGTGGTCCCAGAAGTACCCGACCCAACGAAGAAAACAAAAATTTTGTAAAAAATGTATTTATTTTTCAACATAATCTCCTTTGAGCTCTATACACTTTTCCCAGTGATATTCAATAAGTTCGATACCCTTTTTATAATAAGAACTGTCTTGCTCCTCAAAATAGCCATTAACTGCCGACATCACTTCTTCATCGTTGGAAAATATTTGACCACTGAGCCATTTTTTCAAGTTTGGAAACAGAAACACTTTCTCCTTAACCAAATGCGGCCGTTTTTGCTTGGTTTCATCGCTCAAACGTTGCATTAAGTTCGCATAATACTCGCCGTTGATAGTTTTACCTTTTTCAAGATAGTCAATGAAAATTATTCCACGCGCATCCCAAAAAACCAACGCCATTACCTTGCCTGCAGATGAAACGGTCTTCCCCTTCTTTGGAGCCGGTTGTCCCTTTTGAGTCCGTTGTTTTGATTGTTTTTTTGTCTCGGGTGTAAAGTAATGGACCCATGTTTCATCCATGGTTATGAACCGATGCAAAAATTCTGCTTTGTTGCTGTGAAACTTCGCTAAACACTCAATTGAAACATCTTCACGACACTGTTTTTGCTCGATTGTGAGCAATCGCGGCACCCATCTTGCACACAGCTTTCTCATGTCCAAATTTTCAGATAATATGCGATGAACCACACTTTTGAAATGCCTACTATGTCTGCTAGCTCGCGCACCTTCAGTCGACGATCATTCAGTACAGCTTTGTGAATTTTCTTCACCACTTCTGGAGTCGTCACCTCATTTGGTCGACTACTGAGATCCTCGTCTTGGCAGCTCATACGGCCTCGTTTAAACTCTGCTACCCAATATTTTACTGTTGTAAATGAAGGAGCAGACTCACCAGAGTAGAATCCAGTTCAGCTTTTATATTGGTTGGGCTGAGGTCTTTGAAATAAAAGTATTGTACCACATAACGATGACCAATTTTCTCTATTTTCACAAATTCACTGAAAACGCTCAGTATTGATAGCTGATAGAATACTAAACAACGTGGCGTCTTCAAACTTGACACATATGCTTTATAGTCTGCATACTTTCTAATACAATGATATTTTTCAAACAACTATCGCCATCTCTAGGTCAGGCCGGGTACTTCTGGGACCACCCTCGTGTGCTGCTTTTTCGCTGATTCTTTATTATTTTATAATGCGAGAAAAACTTAGGAAATAATTTGCAGAACCACACATTCTTGTTGCATCCAATTCGATACTATAGAAGTGTAAACGGCAAGGCGTCGACATTATTTTTTGTTACTTCTGGTATATTAACGTGTTCTAAAAGTTTTGGCACAAAGTTCATTGGCTTTAATTTCAACAAAACCAAAATAATATCCACTTGCCTTTTGAAACAAAAGCTGTTTACTTACTTTACTGCCAGTTGACATTTATTTATTTTTAAGTTTTCGCTTTAAAATGTCGTATGAATTAGAAATAAGGAGTAATCCTGAAATGAAGGAAAACGACAGTCTCGTCCAATAAAGGATTTTTGGGCTTCACTGTCTAGGAAGGTTAATCGTGGTGGCTGTGAAGCCCAAGATGAAGAACACTTAAGACGGCGAATTTACGAAAAACAGAGAAATACATTTTTTCATTAAAAAAATCCGATAAATATTTTGTGCCAAAACTTTTAGGATATGCTACAAGTTCCTATAAAAAATGACTTAAGGAGGTACAGGTCGCTGAACTATGCTACTGGAAATCAGTTTTTCTTAACTTTTCAAAAATACTCTATAATTCAATGAAGTTTCGACAACATATGATGACGTCTATAGGAAATCTCTTCTCTCATTTAGGATGCCAGAATGAACTAGTCAGAACGCAATATTGCTAATTTTTCATCCTGTATAATAATGATTGAACAGTGGCATTTGAAGAAAGCCCGATATTTAAGCTGGAAATATATTTTTTTGACATCGATAAAACGAGCACGCTTCTTTCTGGAGCAGTTCTATCAACTGTGGTAATAAATCTCGTATACGGCTTCCTCCATTTTGAAAATATAGTAATTTTAAAAACAGATGAGCGACCCGAAAAACCTTGGGAACTTAGGATATTAATTCTCAGTTCGCTTAATTAAGTCTTTTTTATACTTAAACCACCACGTAGGCCTAAGACCTAAACACACCCACACACTTTGCTTAGCCATAGATGGTGGTTACTACGTTAAAGTTTTGTTGGACAGCTCCAGGATTCTATGTAGCTCGATAGGCGAATACCGTAGGACATTTTACTTCCTACGCTTATTACTCAATCTTTTGGCGTCAGTATATGTCAGTGTTGCCACTTGTAACATGATTATCAAATTGTACCATATTTTCTACTGAAATATACAGTAAATAAAAAGATGTAAAATAATCGATAATTGTAACATATTATTTTTCCATCTCCCAGCCTATAACTATGTTTTCAAAATTATTGGTTCTAATTGTATGCAACCAAAGCAACGTAACAAAAAGGATAATAATTATTAGTGCTGACCTCTTTCAGTTAATAGCATGGTTATTATGGAATTAGAATAAAAATCAAGCCTACCGCCATCTATGTAAATATTACGGAACTCGAGTCACGGTGAATTTGAGCCTACGCAGGGGAATACCCTAATCCTCATTGTTTCTTTTTCAATACGAGCAAGAGTAGTTGATCGTATGAGTCCTTATTAATGTGTGTTGATGTGATCAAATAGTGAAATAAAATGGCCAGTACCAGCAAAGGGGATCATCATGATTACTCCGATTCTTCGGATTCAGAAAGGGAGGCAAAAAGATTAAAGCTTAAAAACGTAAACAGACGAGAAAATAGACCACAAAAATATAGATGTGAATGGGAAAGCAATCCTCATTTCAAAGGATGGTTGAAAGCTGTTAAAGGTAGAAAAAATAACATAAAACCATTTTATACTTTTAATGATATGCATTTTTGTTTTTAGAAAAGCCCACTCGAGCAAAATGTATTGCTTGTGATAGTGAAATTCAAGCAGATTTAACTGTATTGAAAAATCACAGTAAGGGAGCTAAACATTTAAAAAATGTAAAGGTGATTGTGAAAAATCAACCAAAAATTTCTACTATGCTTTCTAATAAAAACGAAGCTAGTGGTCAAGTGAGTAGGGCAGAAATAAAAATTGCTGCATTAATATCAGAGCATAATCTACCCATTAAGCTGTGTGATCATCTGATTCCTTTATTAAAAGACATATTTCCTGACTCGAAAATTGCCCAAGGAATGCAGATGGGAAGAACCAAAGCAACAGGTGTTATAAAACATGTTTTAGCCAAATCTCATTTTCAAGAACTGATCGATGAACTAAAAGCAAAAAAGTTTAGCATTTTAGTAGATGAATCTACAGACATAGGTGTAGTAAAAAATATATGTGTATGTGTTAGGTACTTTAGTGAAAAAACAAATGAGGTAACTACAAAATTTTTAAATTTGGTTCAATGTTTTTCAAATCAAAATCGAGATGAAGCAAATACAGGGGCGACTGCAGAAGTTCTTTATAAAAAAATTATGGATTTATTTGAGTCTAACAATATACCTTTCCAAAATATTATAGGATTTGGTTCTGATGGTTGTAACACTATGTTTGGTGCCAATAACTCAGTAGTAAGTAGGTTAAAACTAAGTCTTCCTGGCGTTATAGTTCAAAAATGCATCTGCCACTTTTTACATCTTTGTGCCAGTGAGGCTTGTAAAGTTTTGCCACGTCATTGTGAAGATTTAGCCAGGAATATTTTTGGTTACTTTAAAAATAGCTCCAAACGGCAAGCACAATTTACAGAATTTCAGACATTTTGTAATGTGGAGCCTCACAAAATTTTACGTCCTTCACAAACTAGGTGGCTTTCATTACTTATGGTAGTGGAAAGGATAATTGAGCAATGGAATCCCCTTCAATTATATTTTGTTAAAGAATGGACCGAACGTAGACTGCAAGCTTCAGAAGTTGTTGCCAATAGACTTAATGATATGGAAATAAAACTTTTTTCTTTTTTCTTCATTGGATTTTACCAAAATTTGTAAAATTAAATGAATACTTTCAAAGTGAGCGTGTCATAATTGCACACGTTTATGATGTAGTTTGTGAAACTTATAAAGAAATTTGTTTAAGCTATTTACAACCAAATTATATTCATAAAACCGAAATAGGTAAAATCGATCCCAACAATGCTAGTTCATTGACTTGAAACAGATATACCTTGGTGTTCGCGTACTTCAGAACATTGATAAATTAAGTCGAAAGGAAAAAGAAGATTTATACATGCGGCGCCGTCAATTTTTAATAACTTCTGCAAATGAAGTGAAAAAACGGTTTGATTTTAATGAAAATATTTTGTCAAAAATATCAGTATTTAAAAAAGGGTATTCTAAACCAAAACCAGCATCGCTTTTTCCATTAATTAAGTTACTACCCAGAATTGTAGATCCTCAAGATATTGAACAAATACAAAAAATTGATGATCAGTGGCGGATGTATTGCCAGTCAGAACCAAATTTCAGTGATGAAATAAAGGATGATACATCAATCGATAAATACTGGTACAAAATCTCCCAAATTCACGACATGTCTGATGTTTACGTATTTAAAGAATTGGGAAATTTTGTATTAGATTTATTAGTAATTCCTCATTCAAATGCCGCATGCGAAAGAATGTTTTCAAAAGTTAATTTAATCAAAACAGATGTCCGAAATCGCTTGTACAGTGATTCAGTAAATTCACTTTTATTGGCATCTCAAACTGTAAATCGTGAATGTTATAAGTTTAATGTTACTCAAAATATGATTAATAGAATAACGTCCTATAAACATGTCGCTCAAGATGAAAATGAAACTGCTGATATTCATTTTGAACCTGAATAATGTTTTTTATGTTTTCGAGTTATGTATTTTTCGCGAGTCTGTTTGATTTTCCCAAATGT